GAAGTATGGAAAATCAATTCTGAACGTATAATATAACATGAGAAGCTTGAAGCCTTCGAAAGTGAAACTGGAAGTGACAAGTGTGATAGGATTTTAATTAGTCAGATTATGTTTTGCAAGAAAAGTACTCTCTTTGGCATGAAAAACCAATCGAGATGATAAGCAGTCCTTTAAAATCGCGAGCTCAGGCGTCAATAAAACTGCCGAATAACACTGAAAAAGTTAAATAAAATGCATTAAAAGAACGTCAAGTCAAGCAGCATCCTCTGGTTCGCCCATGCACAGCATCCACTCTGGCTTCCATAAATAGAGCATAATTCGATGCTAGCGTGACGAAAGTCAACAGAGACGGTTCAGTGTCAATATACTACATAACGCAGTGTATCTGCTCATTTTTAACCCTAAGCAGACCGGGGGAGCTTTTGAAGCCCTCAAAAGCGTTAAAGGTGAATAACTTGAAAACGACTTTTCCTAAAAGCGGCTTTCTCTAAAATTTTGCCGGCAACATTTTAAAGTCGTCGTCACGTGTACGTCATCATTTACTTTATCAATTGGCAACCAAGATTTGACAGCCATATTTTTTCAAAACTTTCATTTTTTTACACTCTTTTTTCTTGATAAGAATGTTGTTTTTCCGGCCCAGGCTGAATATTCTTATTTTTCTGCCGATTTTAGGCTGAAAATATTCTTGTATTATTCTTAAATTATAGCTTATGACATTTCCGTTTTAGAATTTATTGGGGTATCAATTACAAGTGTTTGGTATCTAGATCTGTGCTGAATACTGTACATGCGGTATTACATGTACCGTTCATCGAACTGTCATTAGCGTTGAACATTTTGCTATAGCTAGTGCAGGTTTTTTCGTATGTTGGCTAGTTTCGCCGTTCAGAGAAAGGAATAATTTTATACGGTTAAGTTAAAAACATAAAATTGTATTGTATTTACAGATGTTTCAACACACAAAATTATATCTATCCTTTTCAAAATCTCAGCCTCGGCTTTATTCTTAAAACATTCTTAAAATTTCGCAAATTTCAGCCTCGATATTCTTATAAAATATATTCTTATATAAAAAAAAAGAGTGTATATAAAGAAGATTTTGTGTCTTTTTTGAATTATTATATTTCTCTGTATTTAACATTATTTTTTAATGTGTCATAAATGTAAAATGTAATCCAGGCTTTTCAGTGACAAATTGGAGAAAAAAATGAATTTACAATGATTTGACCAATTGGCAGTTTCTGGGTTCAATTTTTAACAGAGTTCATTTCCCTCTGAATTATCTCGATTTCCTCGATTTATACGGGTTTTAAAGTGTAATGTGATTTAGTAAAATCTAACTAATGGCCTATTATCAATGCTGCGTTCTGATTGGCTGAGTTACTACTAGGCTATATGTTATAGCCCACTAGTAGCGAAAAGCGCTGGCTTTTTGGCGGCAAAAAAGGATTAAAGTCTAGCTTTAAGCAGCTAAAAATTTTTTATTCTCGATATTTTTGACCAACTAGTTGGATTTTACAAAAACAATTATTCCTCTCGCCCTCATGGCCTCTGAGTCAATAGCCTGTTCGGCCTTCTGCCTCATGGGCTATTGACTCAGGGCCCATTCGGGCTCGAGAAATTCGATTAATTCAAAATGGGGGATCCAAGATGGGGGAGGGTTCTAGTTCCTTCTTTTAAAATAAATGAAGTCATCATGACATCACTGCTTGTGTTAAAATTATTAATGTGTTCACCAACTTCTTAATAATAATTATGATAATAATAATAATAATGAAAACTTATATAGCGCAACCTTCCATGGGACATGATCAAATGTGCTTTACAGTAAGTTAAAAAGAAAGACTAAAAATGAATAAAATTTACAAGCAGGTAGAAAGATTTAAAATGAAATAAAATAACAATAAGTGATAAATAATAAAGTAAACGAAACAAATACACTACTACAAATTAAAAGCTTGTTTAAAAAGATATGTTTTCACATGGCATTTAAAATTTGACAGGGAGTCAGGGCTGGATATTTCGCTTGGTAGGTTGTTCCAGAGCTTTGGGGCCGCATAACAGAATGCTCTACCACCAAGTGTTGGGAGTATCTTGCCGCTTGGAACCTCAAGCATAACTTTTTTGCTGGATCTGAGGGAATATCCAGTTGATTTCCTTCGGCTAATCAATTTGCAAATATAATCTGGCGCCATGCCGTGGATAGCTTTAAAAGTCATTAGTAAAGTCTTAAACTCAATGCGATACTTGATGGGAAGCCAGTGAAGCTGAGCTAAGACTGGTGTTATATGGCAAAACTTAGGTTGCTGAAAAATAAGCCTTGCAGCTGCGTTTTGAACTCTTTGAATCTTATCAATTTGTACCTGTGGCAATCCATAGAGTAAACTGTTACAGTAATCTAATCTTCTGGAAACAAATGCGTGAATCAAAGTCTCTAAGGAGTCGCGCGATAAGTGTTTTCTTAACCGCCTAATGTAGTGGAGATAGTAAAATGATGCATTAAAGACTTTGTTGATGTGGGAGGTCATTGACGGCTTGTCATCAATGTACGAACCAAGGTTCCTAACAACTGACGATTTCATTATATGGCTGCTTTGAGGGAGTTCTGGATTTTGCTAATAAATTCAAAAATGTGACCTAATAATGACGTGCAATTACGTCATTTTGTAAATCAAGTTATGCCTCGATGTTGGAGATGGAGAGGACTTTCTGTCTAAGTTTGGTGACCGTATTATAGAGGGGACTCTGAACTCCCTCAGTCGCAGGAAGCAAACAAAAGCCCGGTCTGCATAGGGCTAAACAAACTTTACCTGTTTTCTGTTAATTCAAATGTTTGTGAATAACGTAGGACATAAACTGCGGATATTCAAAAAACTTTAAAATATGAAGAGGATTGAACATTACTAAAAGGGAACATTTCCATAAAAAATCGCAGGGCAAAGTCCACGAAACTAAAGACCTGTTTTCAAATTTTTTAGGGGAGACTGTCATCTGCCCATGGCTTCTTCAGCGCCAGTATTTCGTTCTACAAAGGAAACCACTAACTACGCAAGGCTGTGTCGTCTTCTGGTAGATGTTGGGTCACAAGTCTTAAGACAGAAATTTGACAGTATTTATCCGCCAGCTACCCTTAACAGTTATTTGTCGAGTCCTGCAGGACAAACAGCCCTGAGGAAGCTTAAGGCGAGAAGAGTTTTGAATCCTTCGCAATGGGACAAATTGTATCCGCCCGTCAGCACAGTTTCAGTTTCATCAAGGGACTTTGACATCACCCTGCTAATGGTTCTGTTGAGAAACATCTGTGGTTTAACCACTCCAGCTTCAGGGTGGGACAATCTTCCGCCTTCTACAGATTTAACGCCCGAAGCTGATATTGCTCGTATAAAGTGGTACAGAAATACAGTGTATGGTCATGCCAGTCAAGCCTCAGTTGATGATGCCACCTTTGCAAGCTGTTGGACGGACATTAAAGCTACTTTGGTTAGACTAGGAGGGGCGACATATGGACCTGCAATCGACCTTCTCGAAAATGCGGGTATGGACCCTGTCATTGAGGAACACTACAAAAACCTTCTGAAACAATGGAAAGTGGATGAACATATCAAAGATGCGCTCAGTGAGATGGTGGAGAAGCTGGATGAACTGAAGGCGGCGTTGCCGCAGCCTGCAGAAAAGTCGACGCTGAGCGAAAACGGTAAGTTATGACCAAAATATGACGCCATTAATACACTCCACATTAAACTTATCTAATACTATCGATGCTTCAGATTGATAATGTACAATTAATGTCAGGTCCTGAAGTACACCTCACCAGAGACAAAGAATAAAGAACAAATCAAAAGGTAATCCACGAGAGTCTTGGATTCTAGGGTGCGTTCCTTTGGAATGATGTGGATCAGGATCATGTCAAAGGAACGGACCCCTAGATTCCACGCTGTGGATTACGGATTTCAGGTACTGGATTTCAAATTCCTTCTTGCCAGCGGAACTTGGATTCCGGATTCCAATCATTAGCAGGATTCCAGATTCCTGGAGCTGAATTCCGCATTTCAAAGCCCAGGATTGCGCATTTCGCAAACAAAAATTTCCAGGATTTTGTAATCCGGATTACCTTACATGGGGTGAGAGAGTATCGTTAAATCTTACTACAAAGCGACATTATGAGTATTGATAACGTTTACTGCATTGGAAGCTGATAAGAAGTGTTTGTGACTCATTTAGCCGACTCATTCTTAGCTCGATAACAGTCGTATCTGAAAACAGCCAATGTGATTGGCCTTGCGTACTTGTCAACTTTCTGCACTCAATGTTACGATTTTGCACAACATTTGGAATGAACTGTAAAGCATCCCACCAATCAGATTGCAGAAAGGTTTGTATCTATGTTAGCTCACCAAGGAATATTTAAGGGCAAAATAATTCATTTCAATGACTCATTTCACTTGCATACAGATCCAATCTTCGTTCAAGAGTGTCAAAGGCAGCTGCGCTCCCACTATAACACTACCATGAGCCAGGTTAGAATCACCCCTTGGGAGAAAGATAGCATTGTAAACATCGAAGAAGTTTACACCAAATTATCCTGGTGGAGACATGTAAAGAGACCCAACGGAACAACCAATCAGGAAATTAACGACTATACCGAGGTATTCAAAGGTTACGGACGTTCTACCAGCCCCAAAAGGATACTTGTCTACGGAAGGACCGGTATCGGAAAATCGACCTTTTCTCAGAAAATTGCCGTCGACTGGGCGAACGAAAAGGAAGAAGTCTTGAAACGGTTCGATGTTTTACTTATGGTAAGGTTGCGGAATGCGTTGGATGCCCAAGACATGCCTTCTTTAATAAAAGCTTCTGACCTTTTTACCGTTGATGGATCGATTTCAGCTGAGAGCGTTTATGATTACGTTCGCGGCCACCAAGAAAGGGTGTTACTTGTATTAGATGGCTACGACGAGTACAGTGCGAATGCGACATTGATTCGTGAGATTTGGCGA